TGGAGTATGTGCAATCAGTCAGTATCTGCCAGAATAATAAGGAACCCACAAATCTTCCAGTGCCATCTTGGCAAGGGTTCCTCCCTGTGTGTACACCAGTGAGAAGTGACTTGGAGGGACGTGCTAGGTGGAGCTCCAAAGCAAGGTCTGTGCTCAAGCCAGCTGCCCGTAGCACCCCACATCAGCCAGCTGAGCTGTGCAGATCCCCCTCTGTCCTCTTTGCCCTCCCATAAAGCTGAAAGGATGACAACATGTGCATCCTTACCTGTGAGTTGTCGTCTATCCAAATTGGAGAGCTTACAGTAACTGCTGGCCATGTGCTAGAAGAACAGAACCAGAAAGAACACACAGCCATTAATTTCACTGTGCATTGAGGGTTACCAACACATAAAGTGTCAGAAACCAAAACATCCCTTATTCTGATCTAGCTACATCCCAGCCCAGCAACACAACCATTTCAAGAGCTTTTATGTACTTCAAGCATTTCTGTGTGTTACAAGCCACAGTGTAAGATCCATTTGTTAAAGACTTCATGAACAGAGAAGAGAGGTTTCTGCTGGATTTTGCAGCAGAGTTTGTGGGCAAAACCCTCTTTCAACCCTATGTCAGAAATTAGACTGTAGAAAGTTACTTCATCTGTCACATACCCATCATTCTGTCTTGGTTCCTCTTCATCATCACTTGTCAGTAGCACAACTGAATTATCTGCTGCACTGGAAACAAGTGGGTTTCCAGCTGGGTGCTGCTGGTTCTGCTCCCACTGCTGCAATGGGGTCGAAATGGAGGCAGCTTAGGAACTACCAGTAGCCCCTCCTCCCTGCTCCCCTCTTTCAGTTCCCTAATTGGATTTAGGCTGGAGGTGTTTCTATCCCTCTTTCTGCCCTAAACAGTCAAATTCAAGGGAGATATCCATAAATACTCGTATTACATGAACAGCTGCTGAAGAAAGGCAGCCACAAGAGGGCTTGGAGTAAAGAATTCAAGCCTGGCTGCTGTGTTGGTGCCAGGCAAATAGGACTCAGATGTCTGCCTTCAGTCCATTACTGCTATAATTATCGGGAACCCACAGATCTTCCAGTGCCATTTTGGTGAGGGACCCCCCTCTACAGGCACCCCTGAGAAGTGACTTGTAGGGATGTGCTACTTGGATTTTCAAAGCAAGGTCTGTGCTTGAAGCCAGCTGCCTCTAGCATCCCATGTCAGCCAATTGAGTTACACAGCTCCTCCCCTGCTCCATTCCGCCTCCCACAGAAAATGGAAAGGTGGCAACATGTGGATTCTTACCCCTAGGAAGCAATCCTGGTACAGCACATTTGTAAGGGTAGCAGTGGGCCTTGTGGTAGAGTGAAGAGAGCAAGAAAAAAATTCAGCTGTTAATTCCACTGATCATCAGGGCTTAGTGATAAATAAATTGTCAGAAATCAGAACATCCCTTTTTCTGATCTAGCTACATCCCAGCCCAACAACAGCATCATTACAAGAACCTTTATGTACTGCAAGCATTTCAGTATGTCTCAAGCCACAGTGTAAGATCCATTTGTTAATGACTTCATGAAGAGAGAAGAAAGATTTTTTTCCGACCTTTACTGGAGTTTTATTTATTATTTATTTAGTTAGTTCTCTTCCAGACAGGCCACTACATCCCAGGTCTGGAGTTTCACACAGAATCAAGCAGAACTCAAAGCCTTGGTAAAAACCTCTTTCTACCCTATGTCGGAAATTGGACTTTAGAAAGTTACTTTATCTGTCACATACCCATCATTATCTCTTGGTTCCTCTTCATCATCATTCACCAGTGGCACAACTGAATTATCTGCTGCACTGGAAACAAGTGGGTGCTCCTGGTTCTGCTCCCACTGATGGAACGAGGTAGAAACAAAGGCAGTTTAGGAACCATCTGAAGCCCCTCCTCCCTGCTCCCCTCTTTCAGATCCCTAATTGGATGTAGGCTGCAGCCAAATATTTTCCTTTTCCTGCCCCAAAGAGGCAAATTCATCAGTGATACCCATAAACACTTCATGTTAGATGAACAGCTGCTGAAGAAAGGAAACCACAAAAGGGGTTTGGAGTAAAGAATTCAAGTTTGATGGTGCATTGGCACCAGGCTAATAGGACTTGGAGTATGTGCAATCAGTCAGTATCTGCCAGAATAATAAGGAACCCACA